GTCGGGCGGGCGCCGAGCTGGGCCGCCGGGCGGGGGCGGAGCCCTGGGAAGGGGGCGGGTCTAGCGGAAAAGAGGACTGACCCAGGCGGCGCAGCCTGGGAAATGTAGTCAACGCTACCTGTAAGTCGACCCGGATGCAGGGATGCAAGCTTCGGGCTCCGCCTGGCGGCGGCCCCAACCACCTTCTCTCTAACTTTCCTCACTGATCCCTCCTCCTTTCTCTTTCCTTTCCCCTATTTACCCCACAGCATTGCTGATCTTTCTAGAATCCTGGAAGCCTAAAAACAGAATAAAATAGGGGTCACCTTAGTTTATTGGTTGGAGACTCCATCCCCACCAGTACAGTTCTTCTAATAGGAAAGTCAATTTTTTGGCAAAAAGCTATAAGGGAGACAAAATTTACCTCTACCCTCTTAAGGTTTCTTGGCTGGGCCTATGAATTAAACCGACCAGATCAACCGAAGAAAAGCATACAATTTTATTTAATGTGAGTTTTTCCGTGACTGCTGTAAGAAGGAAATGAAGTCCCCCAAATTAGGCAAAACCTAAGTGTTTTTATGTTACATTGAACAACGAGGCAATTGTGAAAAAAAAAATGTGAGTAGACTAAAGTAAAAGTATTTTAATGACTTCTGTACAGACCTCTCAACTTCCATTCTTGATGTTACTTTTGATATAGGGAAACTATCTTCCATATGGAAGTTTTATCTCCTGCTTTCAGAAAGAGGGTAGGGTTAAAAGTACCTTTCTTTAATCTAGTATTTTTATTTTTTAAGTGCCTTTAACTCAAAGTAATACCTATGCAAAAGGATAAGGCATACTTTTCCAAAGGATAAGGCATACTTTTCCAAAGGATAAGGCATACTTTTCTGAACCATCAAGCCTCACCTGTAAGCTTTTTCTTTCCTATTCCCTACCTCTTCAATCATTCCTCATTCCTTGTCCTTTCCATTTCCTATCTTCCTTTGTCTATACTTAGGGCTGCTACTCCTAGAGCCACCTATTCAGAGTTTTACAATTGCAAGCTATTCAGTGCAACTTCTTATTTGAGGAAACCTAAAGCCCAGATGTCAAGGCTAGTGGCAGAAAAAATACCCAGATCTCTTGACTTTTCTCCAGTTCAATGGGCCAGGGAAGTGTTGGTCTTATTCCCTGGCCCTGCCTCCAGCCCTATTCCAGAATAAATTACCCCCTTATCTCAGTCTGCTGAAACCTTACCTTATGTTTAAGGAAGAGGAGAATCAAAACCAGAAAGATTAGAGAATGGAACGAAGCATCAAGAAGAGCCAAGAAAGAAGAGCACAAGCCAAGCAATAAAAGGCCAACATAGGATTTACATATGGAAACTCCTACAGCAAGACATTTTTGTTGTTGCTGTTCTATTCAGCCATGGGCAATAATCTTATTTTCTCAGCATACTACAGTGACACAACCACACCAAAGTTTATAGCAGGTCAGTTCACAATAGCCAAACTAGGGAAACAACCTAGATGCCCTTCAAGATGAATGGATAAAGAAAATGTGGTATATATACACAATGGAATATTACTCAGCCTTAAAGAAGAATGGAATTATAGCATTTGGAGGTAAATGAATGTAGTTAGAGAATATCATGCTAAGTGAAATAAGCCAATCCCACAAAAACCAAAGGCCAAATGTTTTCTCTGTATGCAGATGCTGATTCATAATGGGGGTGGGGGGCTAGGGAAGAATGGAGGAACTTTGGATTGAGCAGAGGGAAGGAGAGGAAGGGGGTAGGGACATGGGGAGGAGGATGGAATGGAACAGATATTATTACCCCCTGTGTACACATATGATTGCACAAACAGTGTGACTCTACATCATGTACAGCCAGAGAAAAGAGAAGTTGTGCTCCAGTTGTGCACCATGAGTTAAAAAATATTCCGCAGCTCATGTATAACTAATTAGAACAAATTTTAAAATTATAATAATAATAACCGTATTTTCACTGAAAACAGATATAGGATTATTCTCCCAAATTCTCTATTCTCATAAATCGATTGCTTCATTTACTTCACTATATAAGAGGGACATTCCTAGACTTATCTTTTGCTCCATATTAGTAAATCTCTTCAATTGCTTATTATAAAAAATTATCTAGAAAAGCCTTTATTTATTTTGGGATTTTATTTTGATAGAATTGCTACTATCAGGCAACTATATGTACCACACCCCACTTCCCTTGCATTTAAAAAACAATTCATATACTTCTGTAGAATTAGATGTCACATATGAAACAAATAGGGGAAACAATTTTAGTTTAGTGATTTTACAAATAAGGAAGCTCTCTGGCTAACTGTGAGCCTTAGGTTCAATATCTTTTTGTTGTTGTTGTTATATGTGGACTCAATGCCTTTATTTGTTTTTATGTGGTGCTAGGATCAAACCCAGTGCCTCACACTTTCGAGGCAAGTGCTCTACCACTGAGCCACAACTCCAGCCCTTTCCATATCTTGTGAAAGACAAGTGGAAGTTATCAATCAAAATGGAGTCACTTGTGTCAGTCCTAACAACAAAAAGTAAATGAAACTGGAAGGTTATGAAGGAAAGGTTCTTGCGTATGGTTGCCTGATAATAGCCAGCCATCACAAAAGACTGCCAGAACCACAAGCTGGCATAGAGGGTACCACAAACTTTATACAAAAAGTACTTCCACTGGGATATCTCCCAGGAACGATATATTCAACTTTACACTGACACCACTTTGTTATTAATCATTATGACCAAGGACTGTTATTTCAGAATATTGGATGTAAACCGGCATGGTAATCACAGTGACTTGAGAGGCCAAGGCAAGAGGGTGGCAAGGTCAAGACCAGCTTTAAAGGGCTGGAGCTGTGGCTCAGTGGCAGAGCGCTTTCCTAGCATGTGTGAGGCACTGGGTTCAATCCTTAGCACTGCATTAAAAAAATAAACAAGTAAAGGCACAATGTTGATCTGTAACTACAAAAAAAAAAAAATTAAAAAAAAAGACCAGCCTCAGCAACTTGTTATTCTCAAATAAAGTCAGTATTCTTTGGAGAAACTGATTGTTTTTTAATTTAGTTTGAAAATCTTTAGAAACACAAATGCTAAAATATATGGTAACTATGCGAAGGTCTTTTCTAACTCTGGTTCTAGTCTTAGAATCTTCTAAGGGAGAAAGATACTATCATTTATTAAGCATCTACAATACACCACTTTCATATCTAATGTTTCACAAGGACTTGTGTTATAACTGGTTTAAACAAAAATTCCAGCCAGGTTTGTCAATACCCAATGCCATCTGCTTTTCTTGACTATTTCTGCCTTCCATAATAGATCACTACAAAGCCTTCCAGTTAAATTTAGGCTCTGTGTTATCTGTATGACCATTGCTAACATAGTGCTACTCAAGTTTTGATATGTAAACAAATCTTTTAGAGGCCTTGCTCAAAACAGATTCTGATTCAGTTGATCTGGGGTGAAGGCCAAGATTCTGTAGTTCTAACAGATTCCCAAGTGATCTATCCCAATAAACATTTACTGAGTGCCTGTTATCTATCTTGGCTAGATGTTTGAGACACATGATGCCCTTAACTTGCTTATTTCCAATGGGAAAACAGACAAGGTAAAGCAATATAATGAGGGTAAGAAGGGAATTCTATACAGAGGAAGAAGTATAAGCAAATTCGTCTGGCATTTTTACAGCACTACAATTTGTTTGGCATGGTTGGAATTTAGAATAGGAAGAGAACTGGCAAGAGATACACTTCTTAAAATAAATAGGAGTGCCCTCTACTTGCCAG